CAGGAAATAGGTGGTTTTAGAAACATTGATATCAAGTACCTGTCACAGTCAATTGCAAAATTCATTCTTCTTTTGTTTATAGTTAAATGCCCATCTCCAATGAAAAACAGAGATTTTGTAACTCAGAGGTCTTGGTATTGGGAAGAAGATCACTTCATTATTTTTAATCACACAGTGCATCACAAGGTGAGAATCAACAGTTCTGTGTGTCTACATTATTTAAATTTACTGGCATAGCCCTTAACACCCTAACATCAGTATGCAAGTTTTCCACACTCTACTCTATACATTTTCCAAGGTACTGGCAGGATATTTGTGTAACAATCAAGAATTTCTTTAGTTGTTGATCATTTCCTTTATTCTCGGAACCCTAATGTGAGATCCATAGGGGATATAGTAAGGAGAAATTAGATGCTACATGTGGTCACTCTAAGGAGTCAAAGGGTTTTAAATACTTTTCTTGAGTGAATACTGCCCTTGATTTAACACTACAGATGGAAGCTGGAAGAAAAATGAGCAGTAAACACTACTCTCTAAAAGATGCAGTACCTAATCAGAAGAACGATTTCTTGATTTGAACATTATTAGAAAAAAAAAGTACATTGCAACTACGTTAATTACAGCTTCCTTGAAAATTTTTTGCCAAAAATTGAGACTTTGGGACCTCAAACAACTCTGTGTGTGTGCGTGTGTGTGTGGCATGATGTTTACAAATGACTTACCATATAATGGCTGTACCCAGTAAAACTTTGCTTGCAGTGTGATAATATTTAATACTATGTTTTTTTAATCCTAGGATGTACCTTCAAAGAAAGGCTTAATCCGTGGTAATTCAATTCTTAGTGGATATTATGTACGTAGAATAGGAGATGGTTGTTCTCTTACATACGTCTCGCAAGTGGATCTGAAAGGTAATTTTTCACAGTTTGTTGCTCTGTTCCCTTTTTTTACTTTAATTTTTTTTTTTAATGGTAAAACTGTTATGTGAACATTTGATTAAAAATGAATAGAAATTAAAGTGTGACAGAGTACTGTTATAGCAATTTTAGTTTTGAGTTACAAGGGCAAAGGAAGGATTTATACTGACAATTACTATAAATATCCTAGAGTTACAACTCCTGGCACAGGCAACATACATTGTAATAGTGATAACTATGAAGTGCACAGGGGTCTTCTTTTAGGAAAATTTTTAGTACAGTGAGAACAACTCATTAATCACCAAATGATTAATTTCCTTTCTATGAACAGGGATCTTACCCAAGTGGATAGTTAACAGGGCATCAACAAAGATTGCTCCAAAGGTTATTATCATTTTTTGTTGTTGTGGTTGTGGTTGTTTTTTTTGATGGAAGGCAGTTGATGTTTACAGCATAGTCCCAGATGACTTCATGCTGTCTATAAATTAATTTTCTACCTTAAATTTTTAAAGAAGCTAGCTCTTCTACATAATGTCTGTGAGCCACCTTTTTTAATGAAAAATACTTTTGGTTCAGTCAATAAATCTAAACAACAAATAGAATCTTCTCTTTTGATCTACAGAATAAGATATTAATTGATAAGGAGAGATCCTCACAATGTCATATGTAAGAGGAGTGTTATTTTCACAGGATGAATGCATCCTGTACTTGAGGCAAACGACACTGACTGGAACTGTGATATTTCTAATTCTTGAAAAGGGTACAAAAAGTAGAAATCAAAAATATCAGACAATTGTAGAGCAACAAGGGAGAGTCTAAAAAAGTGGAAACTGTCTCTTAAATTCAACTTGAAGCTTGTATGTATGTGAGCCTATAATTGCAAGGGAAATCTAGACAAGTTAAAATGGTCTCTTAAATTCAACTTGCAGCTTGTACCTGGCTCTTATACCTGTATGTGATGTTTTATTTCTTGCCTTTTGATAAAGGTTGTAACCAAGGTTCACAAAGCTGCTCTAGGTTATCAAGCATGGAAATCTATACATGCACCAAGCTACAAACCATGGCTTTGGCCAGAGCAAAGCATTCTCCCTAAGCTCCGTCCAGATGATGTGCAGTCTGTCGGCAGTGAGTCACCAAGTGCATCTGACCAGGAGCAAGAGGTTATAGGTGATGACCCAAATGGCTATGCTTCCAGTGATGATGACAACATAATGCTTTGACAGTGGAATTGAAATTCAAAATTCAATTGTCAAATAATATAAGATTACAAAGCCACTGACTTTCATGCAGTGAACATTATTTTTGCTTAGCGGTGTAAATCTTAATGGAAAAAATTTGGAAAAAATCTTATAAAAGAACTTGTATAAAAGTGTAGCTAGAGAATAAAGCTTAGTAATTCAGTACAAAATTTTCCACAATTTGGAAAGCATAGTTTTAATGTAGAGGTTCAGATGATTGTGAATATTCATTGAAGCAAAGGAGTTTTTGCAGGTAGGAAGAACTCTTGCCCTGGCCCCATCAGTAAAGATGTGTAAAATATACAAATATACAAACTAGGGAATTTTTTGTGGTAGGTATTAAGTGGTTCTAACCATGGTGTGTTAGTCTCTTAGTTTATAGCTTCAGTGTATTATTTAGCAGTTTATCAACATTCAAATTCTATGTGTGTTTTCATGCATTTCTTGCAGAGCTGTTCATTTACAATAAATTATTTTCATTGTGCACACTCTACGGTCCATATTTAATCACTTGCCACCATCTTTTTTTCTTTTTTCAAATTCTAAGTTTAGAATTGTCGTTTTGGGATTTATGAGTCATGCAAAAGTGTGCCCAAGGCACATTAATGTAAATAAGGTTACATGAATGTCCATGTGGTAAATGAACCTACTGATAGTGGTCCCTAAACTTAACACATAGATCCATGTTGTTCGTTAAGGCTTTATAATTATTGATCTGAAATTTAGACCAACCTGTTACTCTTTCTTATGAAAAGAAGTGTTGAACATTATCTTGTACCATTCAACTGCTTTTATTTATATGTAGGACAGTTGCACTTAAACTTTACAATCTCATTGCCAATTCAGTAACAATTTTATAATTATTTATTGGTAAATGTTGTCATAATAGTGGGTTTGAAATATATACCATCAAAATTGGCGCTGTGCTCTTCAATAACATACAAACTTTAAGGTTGGAGATACATTTGCATCATTGCCTTTAACCGTGTTCTGGACACTTTAGGAAATGGGTGCAATGTTTCAAATAGTCCCAAGATCAGAGGATTAAGTTTTAAATTGGTGTTTTTCTTTTCTTCTTTAAGATGTTCTTTGTTACTGACAGCTTCGCGAAACTAAATTACAAGTTTGGCTCCGAGTCTCAGAGTTTATAAGAAACATTTTGAAAGGGATGGTACTGTTAACTTGACTTAATATATACTGTGTGTAACTGCACTACCCACCAACATGATCTGTTTCCAATTTCTGTTGAGTAATTGTTGTAATGCTAGTATACTGAGTAATCCTTTAACTCATAAGAGTATCAACATGTAACTTCTCCCTAGAAAATCCAAAGAACATTCCGCAAATAGACAATGAGAGTACTCAAACTTATCAGGTAGTTGTTATCTTGATCTGAAATCAAATTCTCTTAACTCATTTACAGAGAAACTTTTAGCAGCTAATGGGAGAATTAACAATCAAAGGGTTAATAATCTGTTTCTTCTTAAGGTAATCCTAGGGGCAAACCTATAGCTCTACCAAATTTAACCTTTTCTTTTCCAATTTCTGCGAGATACCTAAGGTTGAATTTGTCCATCTGAAGAGTAGAGCTGTTGAGCTTTAAGTTATTGTAGAGAGAGACAATTCTTCAGTGGAAAGGGCTATGTCATCGTAGTTTTGGTCATTCAACATATTTGTTAGATGTGTTTGGTTCTGAAAGCCAATGTTTTATGGCCTTGAGCACTGACAAGTAATCTTGTCTTTCGAGCTGTATGGAAGGTGTTTTCTACCAAGACAACTTGGGGAATATACACAATATTTTCAGGCTTAGCCCCATGCCACTTTTTCTTCGTTGTTGATATATACTTATTCCTTGTACCTGTTAGCTAGTCAGTTTAAAATTGCATGAGAGGTGCCTTGACCCTTCAGCCTTATACAGTGAAAAACATGTAAAACCGCCTTAAAGTATAAGTACATTAGCTCCATGTGACAAAAAAATAAACAATTTGATTGGTTTCAGACTGTTTCTTGACACATTATCCACTCCTCCAATCTACCTTGTTCTTCAAGCTAAGTTCATCAGCTAGAGGGGAAAAGAATTATTCAGATCTTGGGATCTAGGATTAACAAAATATTTTTTAAACAGTACCAGGATTTATGGAAAATATTTTCTTATTTGGTTCTTAGCACCTCAGTGCTCCTGTTTGTACAAATGATTGTCACACTCTCCTTGGAATGGCTTGGTGTAGCTTTATTTTTGTTTTTTTGAATTACAGTACTTTTACTTTTCTTTACAGTCCACTTCTTGAATTAAGGGGTCGTTTGATAAAAACTCTGTTGCAACATAGCGGCTCTTGTAAGAACACTAATGGAGCACGAATGTTCCAACCCTTGTAATAGCGGTAGTTTGAATTTGACGTGAACTGGCTCACATTGTCATCTGATACTCCTAGTCCTTATTACCTTGTGTAGTATTCTGAAGAGTGCTGTTTACAGTTAGCTAATTTGAGAGTTTCATGAGCCATCATCGTGATCTTGTGGTCGGTCAATGAGATGGAGCTTTTAGTATCACAGCCAAAGCTCTTTTGCAAGTAGGTCACAAATTTACACTAAGGCATATCTTATCTCTTGCTGAACTAGTTGTTCAGATGGGAGTTTAGCCGGCAGAACAGGTGTATTTCTTTCTGTGTTTTTAGTCGAACGGAGGCGAGGGAAGGAGCTCATCCCTTCGCGCTCGCTTAGCGCTTGTCTCCGTTCGCTTGTAAGACGCAAAAAATTACGCCGGTTCTGCAGGCTAATGGGAGTAAAGAGAGTTCACCGTGTTATCAGACACTATGGGAGCCTGGCCTCTCTCCACTCAGCAGTGTACATGGGTATCAGTAAACTCCAATGACTACACGGGAAACCAGGTAAGTTACCAGAGATAATTTGGCGTGGATTAACTTAACGGCACATTTACGGGAGAGGCAATGTTCCTTGTCGTTTCGTGAGTTTAAGGAACTTGAAATTAGTCGTTGTTTTCCGGGTCACTGAGCTCGAGTGCAGAATTCAGTGTTATTGATTATT